TTCGTCAACCACAACCTCATTCCCACACACGATTCGACTCGATGTCGCGATGAACAGAAACCATGGCACACACTTCTGATAGATAGCATACGTTTCGATGTTTGGATATTTGGGAGACAGAGAGTCATTCACCAAAGGGACACATAATATCATAAAAAAGAAAGGATAAAAGCTTTGCGCATCGACCCAAATGGTTGTCAAAGCAGCACCGAGACCTTCACCAAGGTCTTCTCATACACACTCTTATTCGCAATCACACAGAACTTCTACACACCCATCTTCTACCACTCCAATAATGAGTCCCGGAGGAAGAGTACCTGCATCCGGAGGGCAGAATGTCCGGTCCCCAGGTACTAGAACTGAACGAGTTCGAAGTCCAAGTCCAAATTATTTCGGACTAGTGGTTGAACCTTCGAGTAACCCCAGAGACTCTGAATCCGTTCCTAAAGCTAATTGGAGTCCTACCACGTCTTCCATAGTTAGTCTCATATCCTAAATCATCCCCCTAGCGAAGTCATTCTAACTTTGTATCTTTTAGTTCTCATTTGGTGACGGCACCCCAGAACATATACCCATAAACACGAATCCTGCCTATGAGGCTTTTAAAAAGCAGTCAGAATCCAATAACGGATTCAACCTTAGTCATGGGGGTCTAGCAAACTTCTCAATGTCACCAGGTCCTTCCTTACTACGCGCAAAGAATGAGAGAAAGACATCTAAGCTTGATAATCCTCCGTCACCTAGATCTGTTCCAAGAAATAGGAATGCACCTTCGTTGGACGGTGATATTGGTAATGGACCAGACTCAGCATATGTATCTTCCTCGGAGCGCGCATCTATTTCATCCTCAAATGTTCCTTCATTTTTCGATCAACCTCGTCAGATGTCACCCGCCAGTTTTCACTCTTCAATGCCAGCTGTTCAGAGAAATACCCTCTCACATCTAGACGAAAGACATCCCAGACTCTCTCTACCCCAAAATAAAGTGGACCCTCCATCTCCACGACCACAACCACGTCAACATCAGCGAGCGGAAACACTGCCATCGAATTTGGAAGATGGGCCAGCCATGATCACCCCGGTAGAGTTAAAAGAAATAATGGATCGCTATCCCTCTATAGAAGTATTGTTACTCGATTGTCGAACTTTCAGCATCTTCTCACAATCAAGGATTGGGAATGCCCTCAACTTGTGCATCCCGACAACCTTGTTGAAGCGACCTTCATTCAATCTTCAAAAACTTCAAGATACTTTCACCAATGAGGAGGATAAAACCAGGTTCTCCAAATGGAAGCAAGCTAGATATATTGTTGCTTATGATAATAGATCTTCAGATAAGAAAGATGCCGCATTGGCTATCAATACATTGAAAAAGTTTAGCATTGAAGGTTGGAATGGAGCGAGATATATATTAAAAGGTGGATTTGACGCATATGCTCAAAATTTTCCAAAGTCCATTGATCGGGGTTCAACACAATCCTCACAGCCATCTCGAATTAATCTTACCCTTGGAACGACATTACCAGGAGTGGCACCAGTAGCGGGTGGATGTGCTATGCCGGCCACCAAAAATGCAGCAAATCCATTTTTTGGCAACATTCGACAAAATCAAGATCTAATAGATGGTGTTGGTCAAAGAGATATTACGGTTCCGGAGAACTTAATGCGAGATCCATCCGTGATGGGTATCATTCCCAGATGGTTATCGAAAGCTGCAAAGAAAGAGGATCATGGCAAGATTGTTTCAGACCGGTTTCTTCACATTGAGCAAGCAGAATTGGCAAGGATGACAAAGGCATTAAATCAAGGAGTTAGGTATGGAAATGGGCCAGATGTTAATTCTAATGATGTTCAGATTGCTGGGGTCGAGAAGGGAAGCAAAAACAGATACAACAATATTTGGCCATTTGAACATGCTCGAGTCAAACTTCAGGGTCGTACGGAAGGGATGTGTGATTATGTCAACGCAAGTCATATCAAAGCATCAAGGAGTAACAAACGTTATATAGCTTCTCAAGGACCTTTGCCTGCAACTTTTGAGGTCAGTATTATCACTAGATCTTTCATTGCTTCTGTTACTAACATAAACCTTAGGATTTCTGGAGTGTAATCTGGGACCAAGATGTACGAGTCATTGTCATGTTAACAGCAGAGGCAGAAGGTGGACAATTAAAATGTCACTCGTATTGGTCTAGTCATGAATATGGTCACCTCAAGCTCAAGAAGTTATCGGAAAAGAAACTCTACCTTGAATCTAATCGAAGGCGAAACTCTACAGATCGATCAGATTCTGGACGGAGGCGGGCAAGCACTACTACGCAAAATACTCCTCCTTCTCCTACAACGGAAGATGCTCATGTTATCGTCCGAACATTCACACTTTCTCATGCCGCTCATCCTTTTACACCAATGCGAGAAATTACACAAGTACATTATTCCTCCTGGCCAGATTTTGCATCCCCTGCAAAACCTAGTCATCTTTTAGCTCTTATCCATCTCGCCAATTCCATACAACGTGCATCCTCATCCGCCACTGAAGTTCCTCGCCTAAGTGACCCGGAGCCAGAAATCACTCGACCAATGCTTGTCCATTGTAGTGCAGGTTGTGGTCGAACGGGTACATTCTGCACCATTGATTCCGTCATTGATATGTTGAAGCGACAACACAAAGAACAAAAACATGGAACCACACCCATGGAATTTGACTCTACAAATGATGATGGTTACTTGGGACATGTAAAGAAAAATATACAAGCGGATATGGATTGGGTCTTTGATCAGGATACGGATTTGGTGGAAAAGACGGTGGAGGATTTTAGGGGTCAAAGACTTAGTATGGTGCAAAATTTGTTGCAATATGTTCTCTGTTATGAAACGGTATTAGAGTGGATTGCGCAACAGGTGGGAAATAATGGTTGGGGAGGTGGCAATGGAAATGGAAATGGGAATGGAAGTGTAGGGTCACGGGAATGGAATGGAATGGAAACGGAATGGGAATGGGAATGG